TGGCTGACTCTTAACTTTTATAAAGAATATCTCTTTGGATTTGAGACTTTAGTCTTTGCAACTTTACAGATCTTCTTTATGCACCAAGAGCTTGTAACACTCCAAAGAGAAAGGAAACATTGAAATCGCATCATATGACCCCTTTAAAAAACACATGCAGATTTAACAAGCACCACTAGATGGCCCTGGGTCATTTGTGTCTGTCCGGTCAAAAGGAATGTAACGCTGACCAGTATCTGATGTGTTTGTGTACAATATGCATGAATGAAACTGACCAAATAAAGCTGCTCCAGGACATTAGAAACAAAATAAATTGGACATGTAATACTGAGCGGTTCTCAGTCCTGTAGAACTGCACATTTTGGGGAAAGATGCATTACACAGAATTTTTCTTAAAGGATTAGCTCACTCCTGAATAAAAAATGTCCTGATAATTTACTCACCCCCATGTCATCCAAGATGTCTTTCTTTCTTCAGTCGGAAAGAAATGAAGGTTTTTGAGGAAAACATTCCAGGATTTCTCTCCTTATAATAGACTTCAATGGGGATCAATGGGTTGAAGGCGCAAACTGCAGCTTCAAAGGGCTCTACACGATCCCAGCCGAGGAATAAGGGTCTTATCTAACTAAACGATCTGTCATTTTCTAAAAAACATAAAATAAAAATGTATATACTTTTTAACCACAAATGCTCACTAGCATCTTGCATCTTGCATCTTGCATTACGTAGTCGCGTTGGAAAGGTCACGCAGTGACGCAGGTGGAATTGTGGAGAAGGAGGACCGTTCAAAAGCGGTTGTATGTTGATTGACACATATTTATAAGTCTTTGTATCAGTTTATTGTTTGCAATGGTCCGTTCGTGTGCATATCCTGGATGTTTAAATCTTTTGAAACCTAAAAGATTTCTTCCGCTAGGAAAAAACATGTCCTTTCCAACGTAATTGTGTAATGCGTGAGGTCGAGCTAGTGCAAGATGAGCATTTGTGGTTAAAAAGTATATAAATGTTTATTTTTTTTAAGAAAAGGACTGATGGTTTCGCTAGATAAGAGCCTTATTCCTTGGCTGGGATCTATGAAATCTATTTTATATTTTTACATTAACAATGTTTTTATTAAAGCCATGTATGAATCTCATAAAGTTAGTGTTTTTTAAGCATTTTACATTTATTCCAAAATAATAACTCAAGGCAGTAACAATTTAAACACTATATTTTATTTGTGAACTTATGTTCAGCTATTCTTTTTAATAATTAACTTAACTATTTTTGAATTTTTCGGATCATCAGTCATCAAAGCTCAGTAAATATTGGTCACAGACAGAGATTTACTTCAAATTTAACCAAGCTGATTACTCATTAAAAACTCCCACAGATCATGTTTTCAGGCCATTTCAAGTCTTATTATTATGTAACAAGGTGGTTGTGTCTAAGTGTGTGAATTGTTTGCTTACTTTTTAAAATTAGTCTTCCCATTAACACCATTATATTGTTCATTCAGACTGATTCGCAAACGCAGAACCAATCACAGCCGAATATAACAAGCCATATCCAATCATATTGCAATGGAGGCATTGCCTCCTCTCACATGACTTTCCCCCATTCATTCTCAATTACCCCCCACTAAACCCACAGCACGCTATGGGGTCTCTGTTTAAAGTCAATGGCATGAAGGGAGGAAAGCCTCTGCTGTAACTTTACCTGCGGGTGTCGCTGTTGGTCAGTGTTACTTTACAGTATGGTTCTGTTCTGGGCAAGAACTCCCTGTGCATCCATGCCTAATCTTTGGATGGAACATAACTAGTCCCACCGGGCTTGAACTCGGGCAGAGGATTCCCAGAATGCCTCTGATGACGGCAGCCCACCAGCTGTTCGAGAGCAAACACGACCCAAAGGCCCCAGACCCGCAATAAAAAAAAACGACGGGGCCGTGATGACAGACAATGGCTGGCCCTTGGGCCCCTTTAGTGTGACGGCGTGAAGCAGCACACAATAATGACGCCACTGTTGTTCCACTCAAATGATGGTGTCACCTGCCGGTGATTCTGCCGTAACACCGCTTCAAACTCCAGCACAACAGAGAGCGAGAGCTGCAGCGGAGCTCACAGGACGGGATTCTGCTGCTTTTCTGTGCCACATTTACTTCATTTACATCATGCTTATGTTTCAACCAAACACAACATACAAATGTAATACAACAAACTTAATGTGGCTAATGCAAATCAAAACAATTCTGAGCTTTTTTTAAGTAAAATAAAATGAGTGGTTGGCCAGGGTGTTGCTATGCAGTTTGCTAGGATGCTCAGGGTGGTTCCTAGGTTGTTGCTATGAAGTTGCTAGGATGCTCAGGGTGGTTGCTAGGGTGTTGCTGTGCAATTTGCTAGGATGCTCTGGGTAGTTGCCATGGTGTTGTTATATCGTTGGTAGGATGTTCTGGGTAGTTGCCAGGGTTTTGCTATTCAGTTGCTAGGATACTATGAGAGGTTGTCAGGGTGTTACTATGCAGTGGCCCTGGGTGGTTGCCAGAATGTTGCTATGTATTTGTTAGGATGCTCTGGATGCATAGCAACACCCTGGCAATCATCCAGAGCATCCTAGCAAATGTGTCTCTGAGTAGTTGTCAGGATAATGCTATGCAGTTGCTAGGGTGTTCTTAGTAGTTGCCAGAGTGTTGGTATGCAGTTGCTAGGGTGTTTGGGGTGGTTGCCTGGGCGTTGATATGGTTTTTTACGAGGACGCTGTGGGTGGTTGCCAGGGTGTTGCTATGCAGTGACTCTGAATGGTTGCCAGGGTATTGCTATGCAGTTACTAGGCAGTTCTTAGTGGTTGCCAGGGTGTTGCTATGCAGTTACTAGGGTGTTCTCAGTGGTTACCAGGGTGTTTATATGCAGTCTCTCGGGTGTTTTTTATCCTGTCTGAGGTGCAGAAAGCCCATCCTCAAGTTTCTGTGATATTCTGGTCTAAACTGGCAAAAGAATATTATTAATAATGTCATAAACAGGCTGAAATCATGTTTGAAACTTGTTTACACCAGGTTAAGTAGTAAAATCAGGCTAAAATTTTGTCCTGGAAGAGAATAAAAATGTAACTACCATATTAATCAGACCCCTTGCTGACTCAAGCACTCAAATCAAATATAAGCACCTAGCAAAATCTCTGTGCGGTTGTGTAATATTCACAGTGTGAGTGTCATTTCCAGACAGTTATAGAGTGAAGCTACACCTTCCGTCAGACGCTGAGGAGAAACTCGACACCGCGTGACCCAGCCCATCATTGTGGCTCCATCTGAACACAGAGCACATATTATGGTCTGGCAACAGTATCAACAATGAACCCGTCAGCATAACGACAAAATCTCAGAGGAAAACTGGAATGCTTGAGTTCAGATCCAGAATGATTCTGACTAGGGCTGTAACAAATCATTATTTTAATAGATTATTTAATTTTTTTTTACATTGAATCTATTTTTATTTTTTTTCTGATTAGTCAGTAAATCCTTATCAATAACCTTAGTTAACTATCCAAGAAAATAACCATAACTTCTGCCATTAATCTTTAAATGTTTAATTTAAACATTTTCTCATAAAATACTTACTTTAAATATTTTTAAAAATCCCAACGTGAAAAAATAAAGTGCCAACAATTAAAAGGCATCTATCAGTAATACAAATGCGCGTGCTGGTTGGTTGCCAGGGTGTTGCTATGCATTTGCTAGGATGCTCTGTGGTTGCTAGGGTGTTGCTATGGGTGGTTGATTGGGTGTTGTTATGCATTTGCTAGGATGGGCTGGTTGGTTGCCAGGGTGTTGCTATGGATGCTCTGGGTGGTTGCCAGGATGTTGTGATGCATTTGCTAGGATGCTTTGGGTGGTTGCCAGGGTGTTGCTATGCAGTTGTTAGGATTCACTGCTTGGTTGCCAGGGTGTTGCTATGGATGCTCTGGGTGGTTGCCAGGGTGTTGCTATGCATCCTAACCCATTTACTTGTGTAATGTGACACATTTCCAGATAAAAATCTCCTGGTGGAATGACCTGCCCAACTCAATTTGAGCAGCTGGGTCCTTAGCCATCTTCAAGAAATGGCTAAAAACACATCTCTTCCATCTTTATTTGACCCTCTAACTCTAGCACTCTCTATTCATTTTCTAACTGCTTGTTTTCTTTATAAAAAAAGGCCTCTAACACTGCTAACGTGTACTGCGTTAGACTAACCGAGACTTGTCACAGCACTTACATATCATTGCTCTTTTGTTGGTTTTGATTGCTTCTATTGTCCTCATTTGTAAGTCGCTTTGGATAAAAGCATCTGCTAAATGACTAAATGTAAATGTAAAAATAGGATACTCATGAGGAAAACTTCAGGTGTTTTCAGAATTCAAAATTGCATATTATTTATACTATTTCTGCCGTACATTTATGGGACAGAAATAGTCTGGTTCTAGTATGCGATTCTGAATTCTGCCAGTGTCTCTGTAAGACAGGAGGTTTGAAGGGACATCAACTAAATAGCAAGCAAACCAACAAATTGGGTCAGTTTTGATTTTACGTGGACGTCAATACTGAATCCTACCGTTTTATTCCCAGAGAGAGCTTCTTATGTGAGCTTTTCACCAGACAAATGGCCTCCAGTCTGTAACCGCTGAGAAGAACCGAGTTCACACTGACTATCTCGTCACCGATCTGGAGTCGACCCAGCGCCGCTCGACTCCCGTCCTCCACCTAAACAAACAAACAAACACAAACAAACATCAGCACTGTCTGCCAGTACAAGAACATCAACATCTGCTTTACTGCAGACAGCAGTGTTGGGAAGGTTACTTTGGAAATGTAATAGGTTACAGATTACAAGTTACTGTAATAAGTAGTGTAACTATTTTAATGACTTTATTAAAGTAATGTATCTGATTACATTTGATTACTTTTTCATTACTTCTCTAAATTTCTAATCATTTCCAAACATGTAAAGCAGACAGGGTTAACATTACAGTAGAACTCAACACTGATTACTATCAGACTTTCAGAATCCTTCACTTGAATTAAGATTATGATAAATTAATTTTAAAGCACAGCCACCACAAAATCAGACTTACTTTGAGATCGTTCTGTGGTTAAATACAGATTTACAACCATAACAAGATATAGTTTAATAGCAATGATACTGTTTTTGAAATCAAATCTTTGCATAACTATGACAGGAAACACTGGCATCTAACAATGCTTTGGAAAAAACTGTTAATCTTACAAAAATAAAGCATGCACATAAACCCAAATATAGGAAATAAAACAGTTATGGAATAAGCATGTGTCCTAAACTCCTGAAACATTGGTGTCTCATATTTTAGCGCAATCAGTGCAATTTATGAAAGAAATCAATCAAATCTGTATATGTGTGAAAATATTCAGATGTAACCCCCCTTGTAATCTGAATTACAATTACTGTACATTTATTTTGTAATTAAATTAGGTAATTTAGTTACATGTAACTAGTTACTTCCCAACACTGGCAGACAAAGTGTAATCCGTTACTGATTCCAAATTACGTGACAAAAAATTTCGTTAGTAACGTAATCCATTACTTTACACATTTTAGGAAATATAATCAGACTACTTTTGGATTACTTTTGACCTACCTCATTTACCACATTGATTCAAATAGGATAATCGTGTACATATTGATATAAAAATACAAAGAGAAAGAAAATATATTCGGTTTGTTGTTATTAATAACAACATTACATTACGTCAAGGTTTCCCAAACTGGGGTTCGTGAAGGAACTGCAGGGGGTTTGTGAGTTTAATGAATATAAGCTAATAATTAGTTAAATCATGCAAAATAAATGTAAAATTAAAATAAATAATTTTAAAATAACAACAATCAAAATAAAGCACTTTGCATGTGATGTGAACATAGTAGTCAGTAGTTGACTGGTCTTTGTGTGAATCTCCACAAAACTAGAAGACTTTCTGAATGTATAATGTATAGTAGGTTATCTTAGAAAGGAAAATGTAAAAGATTTAGGGAAGAATTAGGGAGAATCCATAAATTATGAATTGTGTGAATAACATGTAATCAAAAAAGTAACTGTAGTCTGATTACAAGTATTTTAACATGTAATATAATCCAATTACAAGTACACAATCTCATTATGTAATATTACATACATGTAATTCGTCACTACCCAGCACCGGCGGCACAAAAAAACACAGTCAACGTCATTTATTTCTTAAAAACAACCTAAACCACATGATAAACTCAAGTCACGATCATTTTACTTGTTATAACTATTGCTCAGTATAATAATAATTAATAAAAAAAAAATGTTTAATTAAAATAATAAATATTACTAGTCTACTAATACTATAATAATCTAATATTTAATACAATTAATAATAATAATAATAATAATAATTTTATTTAAAGTTCAACTATAAAATTACAATACTAATATGACTTAATTTCTTCATTTTCAAACAATAAACCATCAACCAGCCGTTTTAGTAAAAGCCCTTAAAGAAAACATATGTGTCCGTGTTAAACGTCGAGCAATAAATGACACTTGATTTGATATTTTGATTTCTAATGATGTTCAGACATTCAGTGTGACTTTCATTATTCTCAATCTCAAATTATTATTACTTACTATTTGTATTACATTTTATTTTTACCTAATCGAAAAATATTAATTTCATTCATTCGTTCGTTCATAAAAAAAATTTTTATTATTAAATTGTAAATATGATTTAAGAGTTAAATTTATTAGCAATGCTTTTTTTTGGTAATTATTATTTTATTTTATTTTTATATTATTATTATTTACTATTTTTATTACATTTAATTACACCATTTTAACCTAATCCAAAAATATTCAAATAGAACTTAAGAAAAAAAAATTAACGGTTTTCGTAGAGTTCTATTTTAGTCATGTTTAGACAAACATCACTGCGCAAAGACCGATTTAAGATGAACATATATGTGAGCCTGGAGCACAAAACCAGTCATATTTGTAGCAATAACCAACAATAAATATGGGTCAAAATTATCCATTTTTCTTTAATGCCAAAAATCATTAGTATATCAAGTAAAGATCATGTTCCATGAAGATATTTAGTAAATTTTCCTACCGTAAATATATCAAAACTTAATGTTTGATTAGTAATATGCATTGCTAAGAACTTCATTTGGACAACTTTAAAGATGATTTTCTCAATATTTAGATTTTTTTGCACCCTCAGATTCCAGATTTTCAAATAGTTGTATCTCGGCCAAATATTGTCCTATCCTAACAAACCATACATCAATGGAAAGATTATTTATTCAGCTTTCAGCTGATGTATAAATCTCAATTTCACAAAATTGACCCTTATGACTGGTTTTGTGTCACACATGGGACGAGGACAGTCCAACATCGATCCTACAGGACCCTGATGAGAACAGCAGCAGAGACTAAAGACCTCATCATGAGCGCTGTGGTAAAACAAGTCTGAAAGCAGCAGAGGAAACCGTATGAGCTGCTATCAGATGCCATCAGCTGTGTTTCCTTCACTGAAACCCGAGCACAGCTTTAAATATTCAGCAGCTTGAAACGTTAGATTCACATCCCAGAAATCCACATCATTTCCTCTGCGCTGTACGCAGTAGTGCACACTCAGTAGTGCACTCTCAGTAGTGCACACTCAGTAGTGCACTCTCAGTAGTGCACACTCAGTAGTGCACAGAAATGTGGTTTGGATGAAGTGCAGTAATACAATGCACTATAGACTGGATTCAGAAACACGGCGAACGCTTGTTTTAGTTGCTCGTGTGAAACTTAGTGGATTTGGATGTTTTATTGTGCAGCAGCGCTGTTATATTTCACATTAAAGAAACTGGAGAATTACACAGAATAAGGCTACAGGAAATTACAGGAAAAAAATGCTGGGAATTTTAATTAGATCCAGTTTGTTTATTTTCATGCAGCTTAATCCACAGAGACACCAACAATAAACACATGAAAATAAATACTGTAATGATGTTAAAACCGTTTTAAACAGTATTTGTGCACTTATGAATATCCTTCATTTGATCAAGTGTCTGTATTTGCGCTCAAATGCTACAGAAAAACAAGGGCTGAACGATTTGGAGGAAAAACTCAATAGCGATTTTTCTGATCTCAATTGCAATTTTAATTTAAAATGCATGTTTAAAGAGCTCTCGGTTTACTGTACTTATTTGGAGGACCACTCAATTTGGCAAAACAATTCAAAGTAATTATATATGTCAATATGACCATAAATATTATTGATAATAATAATAATTATTATTATTGTTGTTGTGCTATTTGTGTACATTTTTATTACATAATAAAAATTATTATTATTATTATCATTGTTGTTATTTGTATATTTTTGCTTATTAAATAATAATAATTTTATTAATTACAATTAATATAATTATTGTTATTATTAAATAAAAATGAGCAAAACAAATAATACATTATTAATAAGAATTAACACTTACATTTTATACTATTTGTACTATCATTTATTAAATAATATCATTATATTCATTTTTTATGCTTAAAAATTATAATTAATATATCTAAAATAATAATAATAATAATTATTAATGTATTTACAATTATTTTTTAGAATTATATTTAAATTATTTTACAATAAATAAATAAATAAATAAACAGATTGCCTCAAATAAATCATAAAAATATATTAAATAAATAGATTAATTAATTAATTAATAATTTTTACATAACAAAAACTATCAAATAAATTTAAACAATAAAATAAATTAACATAAATATATATAAATAAATTTAATTATTTTTAATTAATTAAAAGAGTACAGTACTATACTGAGTAGGGAAAAAAATAATGTAACTACTACATATTTATATATAAGATCTAAATATTTTCCAAATAATATTTTACACTTACACAGTGTTAATTTTTCACAGTGTTAACTGGGTTTTTATACATGGAAATATACAGCTGCCTTTTAAATGTCAGGATGGGGGTCTGATCATATTTAGGGACCTTTGACGTCTAAAATCTTGAAACATAAAACAAGGAAGGAATATGATCAGTGTTTGTGTGATGAATGAATGAATACCTTGGTGATGAGCAGCGGCTCGTGATGCTCCAGTCCTCCTCTGAGAGTGAAGCCCCACGGAGAGCCTCCGGTCAGACACAGCTCCACAGACCCCACACCTCCATCACCTCCATCACCTACAAGCTCTCCTGACACTACTGCACCATCCACTCTGCTCACAGTCTCCATCACACACACTCTCTCTCATTCTGTGTCATCTCGGTCTTCAAACACGTTTCCAGCGAGAACAGAAACGACAGAAATGGAGAGAACTATGTGACTCCACCGGCGTGTTTCAGTCTTTCTGAGCTTCAGCAAACTCCATTGGGATCAGAAGCGCAGCGCCACCTGCTGGCCGCTTCATTATAACGTTCCTTATTGTGTCGTTTAATTATTGAAATAGATGTAGGAAATAAATTCAGGGAATGATATCAGAATAAGTACACATATAGAGCTGAACATTTATATAAAATATTTTACATTTATTGAGTATTGATCAAACAAACAAACGAATGAATCGATCGATCAATTCAGTAAATAATGTCAGAATAAAAACACACAAAGTTGCAAAATCATATAAAAGATTTAAAAATGATTGTATGTATTTAGTTTATTTGACCAAACATGCAACAATAAGTAAGTAAATGAACGAACGAACGAATCAATCAATCAATCAATCAATCAATCAATCAATCAATCAATCAATCAATCAATCAATCAATCAATCAATCAATCAATCAATCAATCAATCAATCAATCAATCAATCAATCAATCAATCAATCAATCAATCAATCAATCAATTAAGGAAATAATATCAGAATAAATACACATATACATATATAAAGTTGAAAATTTATATAAAATATTTTACATTTATTGAATACTGACCAAACAAACAAATGAACGAATGAATTAATCAATCAATAAATTCAGGAAATAATGTCAGAAAAAACACACACAAAGTTGCAAATTCATATAAAAGATTTAAAAATTATTGTATATATTTAGTTAATTTGACCAAACATGCAACAATAAGTAAGTAAATGAATAAATGAATTAATTAATGAATAAATAAATTCAGGAAATAATATCAGAATAAATACACACATAAAGTTGGAAATTCATATAAATAATTTTTAATTTATTGAATATGTTTTATTTATTAATTTATTTGACAAACAAATGAACGAATAAATTAATTCATAATTTTAAATCTATATTATAAATAATTATTACATAATTAAAGAAATAATTAAATTATGTTAGAAATTCAGGAAATAATGTCAGAATAAAAACACATAAGGTTGCAAATTCATATAAAACATTTATAATTTATCGAATATATTTAATTTATTTATTTACATGAAATATGAAAAATAAAAACAATATTGCATGTTGGAGGAGACATAAAAACAATTAAATGGTGTTGACGCTTCATTTTCAACTAAAATGCAAGTGAAGTGACTTTTCTTGTAATTAAAAAAAATCAGTATCTTGTTCTATAAATCTGTTTCGTTCTAGCGGATAACAAATTTAACAAAAAAACAAACAAGCAATAAATAAATAATATATTTTTGTCTCTAATGTGAACTTTTGCGAGACAATTCTCTTCTTGTCCAGCAGAGGTCAGTGTGAGATTAAAATGTTCTCCGTGAAATTATTTTTTTGTTTGTTTAGGTTTTTTGCTGTGATTTTTCATCTTTCTGTGACTTGAAGTCTGCATAATAAGTGTGAGGCTAACACTGTGAGATCCGCTTTGTGTTCAGGGATTCTGGGCTGTTTTATAGGGTGATATCAGGCAAATTGGGCCATCAGGTAAAATGGGCCATTTAAGGTTTGAGTGTCTTATCTCTTTAAAAGTTAACAGCCAATGACTGCAAAGAATTTCAAACTGTTGCCATAACAGTGCTTGATATTTAGCAAATGATTTTATTGGTCTGAGGTTGCTAAGGGGGGAGGGGCAATGCCTCATTTTGAGACCAGGCCAGAAAAAAGCAAGACGAGTGGCCTGACATATCCAATCGTACTTAATAATAAGGTTGATAAATCAATAAAAAACAAATGCACATTTAGAAATAATGATTCATAACCTATGTCTTGATGGCCTCTGTGAGATAAAATGCTGGTTTTGCTAAATAATCCAGATTTTTATATAAAAAAAAGCATTTTTAGTCACTGGTCCAATTTACCTGAATGTGTTCAGGTAAAATGAGCCATTAATTTCAGTTAAAATGAGCCACCTTCTGAATTGAGTTCAAGCAGAAATTTTGGTGGTTTCTCTTATTAAAAATTATTTATATTATTAATATATTGTATTATTGAATTTCTGACATACCTTTTTCACGTTACCTTCTAAATGTGTTTGTATGTGATGTGTGTTTATGTGTGCTGGACTATGTTTGTGTGTGCATGTTAGTGAGGCATGTGTATGTGTGTTGAAGAGTATGTGGTGAAGAGAATGGCATTTTTGATGATGACGGCTTATTGAAAGGTTTGAGTGTCTTAACTCTTCTCTTCGAAATTCTTTACAGTCATTGGCTGTTAATTTTAAACTGTTGCCATAACACTACTTGTTATTGTTATTGTTACATTTTTTTAATGAAATTTGTTTTATTGATGAAATGTATTGAAATTGATGTTCTAATGTAATTTAATAGCAATGTTACACTATTACATTATAAAATGTATAATCAGAATTTACCTATACTGACATAAAAGTACAGTAAACACACGACTTACAGAACATAACACATAGCGCACAAATCGAGACGGAACAGGAGATTGCGACAGATCGAGCGTGCAATAAATAAAGTCATTCTTAGGAACTCATTTAAGTTCCTAAGAATGAGGAAATTATTTCATAAAACGGTTTAAAAGAATTGAATCAAACTGCATATTTTCTGGTGTCACACATTTTAAATTAGCCTATGAGTGGATAATGTAACATTTATCTTTTGTGTAGCGTTTGTCATTAAATGTTTATGTGCATGTGCATTTTTATTAGAATTGCTTTCATTTGTAGAATAGAGAAATACGTCACAGCTTGTTCCTCATTTTGGGGTGTTTTCCTGCATTGTGTATAATCGTTCTGCTTTTAGTCGTTTTTGTATTGAATCTTCAGTCTTCGTAAGGAGACTTTATTCAAATCGAACATTTATTAATTCATAACTCTGCCATGAATCTCACATTTTCACTCACGGTGTTATTTCTGCTGTATCTGAAAGGTAGGACTCATTCAGTCAATCATTTGTTAGTCTTTATTGTGTTCTTTGTAACACCTCCAGTGCTACAAAACTACTTTGACTAAGCACTAAATGTAATTTCATTTCAATTCATTTTCTTTAGGTAAATTGTGAATGTTCCCCTTTTTTGACACATTTTCTGATTTGTGTTTCAGGTTTATTAGGTCAGACCGATATTGTGATTTTTCGCTCTGGATCAGTTTGTGCTCCTGCAGGATCAACTGTGGCTCTGGGGTCCAAATGTTTAGATCCTGGAGGGATATTTCAGTCATGGAAACTCAGAATAAATAATACTGAAACTCTAGCAGATCCCCAAAAGGACTCCCGGTACAGATATATAAAAGAGCTTCACAGGTGTTACCTACTAATTCGTGGTCTAAAAGAGACAGACGCTGGCACATATTACATGAGCTTCAGTTACAGAAAAGGAGACATCATCTTTACCTCAAATAGTCGATCAGAATTCACTGTACATGTCACGGGTAAATATTACTCTACCCCTTGATTCATTTTCACTTGGTATGAATCTTCCATTTCCATTCTAGAGAGAGAATAAATCTGATATATAGAGACAGATGTGTGTGTTTGATTAGATCTTCAGGTGTCTGTGGACTCTGATCGTGTGACTGAAGGTCAGAACGTCACACTGACCTGTAAGACCAGCTGTCCTCCAAAACAAACCTTTATCTGGTTCAAGAACGGGCTTCGTTTGGGTCTCTATAATTCCAGTGATCAGCTGCATGTTTCTGCGGTGATCCGTGAGGATTCAGGCCGATACTCGTGTGCACTGGAACACTTTGAAACGTTCCCGTCGGCCGAGACGCTCCTCAATGTCACCTGTGAGTAAAACATGAGAAAAACGCTTGATCTATGTGTCATTGTGAATCCTACCGATAGCACACGTACATCACGGAGATGTCTATTCAACATCTGCATTTAAATCTGCAATATGTATTTTTTTAGTGTTTACTCATCTGCAATACATCTGTCAGATGTCAAATAGACGTTTATTAGATGTCTTTAAGATGTTTGTGATTTAGAATGCATGTAAAACTAACATCTTAAAGACGTCTGTCAGATGTTTGTACACAGCAGATGCTTTCCAGATCAAGTGATCTTTAACAGATCTGATATGATGAGTAATATTATAGCATTTAAACCCTGTAAAGCCTGACATTTGAAGGAATAGTTGAACAGAATTTAATTTAAAAAATTTAAAACCTAAGAATGAGGAAATTATTTCATAAAACGGTTTAAAAGAATTGAATCAAACTGCATCTTTTCTGGTGTCACACATTTTAAATCATGAGTGCTTAATGTAACATTTATCTTGTGTGTAGCGTTTGTCATTAAATGTTTATGTGCATGAGCATTTTTATTAGAATTGCTTTAATTTGTAGAATAGAGAAATACGTCACAGGTTGTTCCTCATTTTGGGTGTCTTCCTGCATTGTGTATAATCGTTCTGCTTTTAGTCGTTTTTGTATTGAATCTTCAGTCTTCGTAAGGAGATTGTATTTAAAGCAAGCATTTATTAATTCATAATTCTTCAGATCAAGCGATATTTAACAGACATATTGCAGACGTATGTGTGCTATCTGTTTCCGAAACTGAATAAAAAATAAAAAATGGTAATTAAGACTTTATTTCTCACAATTGCAAGTTTAAATCACACAATTCTGACACCCCCCCACGAATTGTGAGATAAAAAACACAAAATTGCGAGTTTGAGTTTATTTCTTAGAATTGCGATTTTATATCACACAATTCTGACTTTTTTTTCTCATAAAGAATTTTTTTTTTCTTTATAAAGTCCAATTCCGAGGGTGAAAAAATATTATTTTCTTACAATTGCTAATTTATATCACGCAATTCTGATTTTATAACTCACAATTGCGAGTTTATTTCTTAGAATTGTGAGTTTATAATCTTGCAATTCTGACTTTTTTCTTCCTCAGAATTATGAGATAAACTCGCAATTGTAAATT